GCTAGAACATCTCAAGATCTACACTTTGATCCGAATAGAGTTAGATTTCGACATCTTTGAGGTTTCTGTCTTGTCTTGCTTGGTCTTCTCTTCTTGAGGTAGGGATATTCTACACCTTGATATGATTTTTAACCCAGTTATTTGTTGTTATGTATAAATGGTGAAATTTTTAACCTAGTTATTTCTCTTCAAATTTTCTCTCACATCTATCTTTTCAACTAAAATAAAAAAATAAAAAATTACAAATCATCCCAAAACTATTTTCAAAACTCATAAGCGAACAAATTTTCAACTTCAAAATTATTTTCAACAATTTATCTTTCAAAATACAATTCAAAACTCAAAACTTACTTAAAAAACTAAACCAAACAAAGGCATTACATGTTTGGAAAGATTTTTTTGACTTTTTACGAAAAAAAAATATGCAAAAATAAAAAGAAAATAGAATTTTTAACTTTTTGTATAATTGCTTTATTTTTTTTATTTTTTATTTTTTATCTTTTTCAATGACTTCTTTACCTTTTTAACTTATTTTTTGTTTTTTTTTTTTTGTTCAAACCAAGCCTTGTTTTAGGAGAATTACTTCTCATTGGAAAAAAGGAGGAACTTTTGTGAATTTTTTTTTTTTTCAAACCAAGCCTTGTTTTAGGAGGATTACTTCTCAATGCAAAAAAGGAGGAAATTTTGTGAAATTTTAACCACGGGCTCATTATATATTTTTTTTGCACTTTTATCAAAATTTCATTTTGATTCTTTTATTTTTAGTGCTTGTTTGGAATGTCTTATTGAGGTTAAAATATCCATATAAAACAAAATAAGCTATTTTAGTCAAATATGACAAAATGTCACATCTAATCCATAATTTTTTTTTCTTCATAAAAGTCAAAAAAACTAAAAAGCCTATCCTAAACGAGGCTTTTTAGTTCCAGGCTAAAATAGCCAAAAAGTCAAAAAATCAAAAGGCCGACCCACATCCTAAACGAACCCTTAATTGTAATAGTTAATTACACTTTAAATCAAATTTCATCTCACCTTTCCGTCCATCTACTTTTACGCTATGTTTGGTTAGGGAATTTAGGAAGAAATTTGAAAATGAAAAATGTGTGTAAAACTATGTGAAATATAGGTATACTAATGTAAGTCCATACCTGAAGGTACAGTGTGAATGAAAATAAGTGAACAAAAAAGAGAAAATAAATAAATAAATAGAGAGATAAATAAAAATGAGAGAAAATAAAAAAGAAAAAGAAAAGAGGGAGGAGGAATGTGGGATCATGGAAAGATGGGTGAAAAAAGAAAAAAGTAAGAGAGAGAAGTGGGAAAGTAGAAAATGTACATATAGGACATTTTTTGAAAAATATATCTCAACCATTGTTTTATAATTTGAACAGATCTGAGCCATCCAAATGTCCTCGTAGGACAAAAATATGTTAAAGATTCAAAAATCGTATTGCTTTATTATATAGATTTTATTCATATTTCACCTATTTTCTCTATAAGCAATGCTACGTACCTCAAATTTAAGCTTGCCTCGAATGGCTCGAATTTCACTTTGTCGGTTGTCCAGTCAGTCATCTAGCAAAAAGGCTGACAGCCGCGGCCGACAGCTGCGGCTGACAAGGTGACAACCACGGTAGACAAGTATTTCACTCGGTCGTTCAGGTAGTTGTTCGGCCAGTTGTCCGGTGAACAGAAATTCAAGCCATTCGAGGCAGCTCTATAGTGATTCCGGTTCTTAACCTATCTCTTGTTGTATCCTGAACTCGGGTTGTATGGGTTTGAAAAGTTATTCATATCTTGTTTCCCTTGTTCCCCTCTATTTTTGGTTATCGGGTTGTAATTGTGCGTTTGGAACAAGTTGGTTGCTTCCTTTTCAAAACCTGTGTTGCCTAGATTTTGGCCTCTCCGCTCGAGCAGGCATTCTCACGCTCGAGCAGGAATCTACAACTCTCAGCATTTTTTTGCAGGTCTACAGATGCTGGGAGAATGCATTGGACGCTCGAGCATCTAGTTTCACCCTCGAGCTGGAGTCTGTGTCTAACGCTTGAGTAAGGCCTTCTATGCTCGAGCAGACTGCGTGAATATCAGTCCGAGAAAATGAAGTTTTGAGTCATTTTTTCTTATCGCTCTCTCTCTAAAACTCTCCAAAAAGCTTATTCTTGAGCTCCTCTCTCTACAATTCATCTTCTCTTTTAGATTTCATCTAGATCCATCCTCCTTTTCACCCTAATGCCTTTAGGAAGAAGGTAGAGCTCATCAAGATCTACATTTTGATCCGAATAGAAGTGGGTTTCGGCATTCTTGGAGTTTCTCTCTTGTTGGGTTCATCTTCTTCTTTTGAGGTAGGAATTCTTTCTACACTTTCATATGATATTTAGCTTAGATATTGTCCCTTGTGTAACAATGAATGATTTAGGGATGTTTTAAACAAACCTAGGGTTTGGGCTTAAAATACAAAGATGGGTTTTGGGTGTAGGTGAAATTAATGTTTGTGGGACTTGAAAATGATATTGTACCATATCTAATTTGATGATTTTGGCACTTGGCCTATATTTGGAAAAAAAAAAGAGAGGGTAAATTGCCCTAATCGAACCATTATTTTTGTACAAAAATTGGAAGTGCAAAATTGAGAGAGAATTGACATAAATGGTGAAATTGGCTATGTATGAATTTACTCTCGTGAAAGTTTTGAATAAACTATCTGTTGAGATTGAATATCTGTTTAGGGATAATTGTGGTAGGCTATCGGTGGAGAATAGCTTTGGATTATTGTAGAAATTGTATGTGGATTAGGTAAATTGAAATAAATTAGTTTGATGGTTGTCATTGAATATGATCGTGATTATATACATTGTATATGTATGTTTGCTTGGAAGTGGAAGGGGATGTGCTTCATGTTTGATTATTCTTTTAAATACATTGCAAATGTATGTGTGTTTGTTTGGGAGGAGAAAAGGGTTGGACTCCACGATAATTAAGTTGGCCAGAGTGTTCTGGGTAAAAGTCCCGAAATTATACAAGGATGCCTAGTTCGCGGACGAAATATCCGTAAAATGGCGATTGTAGTGTTTGTATAGCCTACATTTACATAGGTCTCGTCTGACGGTTGCCCGCGAACAAAATACCCGTGAAATGGAAATTTGAAGTGTCTTATGCATATATGTGGTATGATTTGAAATTCATTGAGTTGCAATCTCAGTTTGATGGTTTAGGAATAATGATATCGAACCATGACTAGAATAAAAGTTGAAAGTGAACGGATTAAGGTTTTAAACTGATATTTGATGAATATTTGGGTAATCATGAAAGGTTTGACCCAAACATTATTTATGCACTTGTACTTATATCTTTGCTAAGTTTCATATCGTGTTAGATAGTTTCTACTGGACTGTGGCTCACCCTATTTAGGAATAACATTTTCAGGTAATGAAGGCATGCCTCCTCCAAGACAATAGCATTTGATGGACCTTTGAGAAGCAAGAGCTTCATGTGTTTGTTTATTTTGCATAGCCTAGGACTAAATTTGTATGAGCGAAACTTATTTTGTTGTAACCAAGTTAAGGCTTAGAAAGGTGTAAGCCAATAGGGCATTTAATTTTGTCAAACTCTTTTGTATCTTTAACTTCAGAAAATGAAAGGAATATTCACTCTGATTTATGTTATCTTTTAACATATGTTTATGGATGTATTTATGCTTGTATTTTGGGGCGTGACAAGCTCAATTCGAGGCACCAAGGATTTCCCTTTCTCTATTTTCCTTTCTAAATCACTTCCCAAATCTCCCAACCAAATACAACGTTAATAAAGTAAATAGAAATTGTAAGGGGAATGACTAAAGTAAAATTTTGGTAAAAGTATGAGAGTTAAAGTGAAATTTTGGTAAAAGTGTGAGAGGTAAAGTGAAATTTTGGTAAAAAAATGTCAGGATGTTAATTTGACAATAAAAATGTCATATATATTTTAAATGATAAATTTTATCGACTTTGTTGATGATAGATAGATAAATAGAGATTGTAACTTAACTTGGTGTTATGATTAACTATTATAATTGAAAATAAAGAGATTAAAGTAATATTTTAATAAAAATTCAAAAGTAATAAATATAATTTATCTGTTTTTTACATGCAGTCTACCCTCAAAATGTGAGTGTAATTTACCTACAATTAAAAAAAAAAAATTTGAATTTATTTTATAGAACAAGTCTAAAAATAAATAAAAATAAAAATTTTATTTTAGTCAATAAAAACTTTCCTTCTTTTAACTCTGACATAAAAATTCTCTTATTTGTTTATTTATTTTCATCATTTTAAAATTTTAAAAATAAATAATTTTTTTTAAAAAATATTTAAGGGTGGTTTGGAATGATATAAATAAGTGTACTTTTTGACTTTTTATGAAATATAAGTTAAGGTCAAGTTTGGGAACTTATAAAAAAGTTAAAAAGTCAAAAAGTTACTCAAAAAGTTAAAAAGTTAACACTATTCACCAAAAATCAACAATTACGGCTGCATAACTCCCAATTCGAATTTTTTCTTACAAATCAATTTTTACAATTTTTTATTACACATTTTTTCATAAAAAGTCAAAAAGTTAACCCAAACATCCATATTTTTTAATTTTGGAGCTCTAAAAAGACCACTAATTACATGGCACTCAATAAAAAAAGAAAAAAAATACAACACCAAGGTCAAAACATCAAATCATTCATGATGGGGTCTACTGCCACATCATTAGTGGTAGCACTAATTAGTGCTCCCACTCATTTTCCAAAAGCTAACCCAAACATCCATATTTTCAACCTCAATTTTTTAATCTAAAACGACAAAAAATATAAGACACCCCAAACCATCCCTAAATATGAGTTAAGTTTGAAGTTAGGTCACTTTAAAAAAGATAATGTAACTTTAATAAAATAATTTACTTTTTTAGGTTAAAACAAACTCCTCTTAAAGATAGGACGAGGTATCACATTTTTTTTATTGCAGTTTCACCCCCAATACCTTATTATTTTCATATCTCACTCTTATCTTATCTAAAGAACTCTGCAGCGCGATTAGGGTTTCGAATTAGCCGGCGCGGAGAGCTACTTCAATCAAAAAAATGACGACAGTGGTGCCAACTTCAGAGGAAGATCCGGCTCTCTTCGTCGTCCGCTTCACATCGGAGGTTTCCTGGGCCGATGCTGGTCCCGAGGTATCCCTCTCTCTCTCTCTCTCTCTCTCTCTCTCTCTCTAATCCTTCAGAAGTTTGAGGTTTTATATGAACTAGTCCAATTCTTTCATCAAAATTTTATCAAAATCTTTTTAAAATTCTTCTCCAATGCTTTATCTTTTTACATTTTAATCAAATTCAAATTTGATGAGTTCTTAATTTCATGAAAAAAATGACTTTCCCTTGATTTGATGAACATTTGATGAAAGGATTGGAGATGATTTTTGAGTATACTATTGGAAATGTTGTACATTGGGTATGAAAGCCAGTGAAATAAATAAGGAAGCTCTCTTAACATGTGCCCTCAGGCCACACATTAACAAGACCATTTAACAAATTAACAAACTACACTTCTAAACAACTGCTAATTCAACTTCTAAACTACACTGCATTTACTTACATGTATTCAGAATTTTGTTGCTTTCCAATACGGTTTACTTAAATCTGTTTAATTCTCGTAAAAATCAGTTTTTGGTTTTCAATTGATAGTTTGGATCAAGTGGGAGGTTTTGATGATTGTCCATACCTAACTTTTATTTTGCATTTCGGAATTCAATTGCTCTTCTAGCTAAATGTGTACACAGGAGGGGAAGTAAAGGGAAATGTGTAGACTAGGAGGGGAAGGAAAGGAAAGGAGGAGGGGGTTTCGTACTGGTGTTTGGTTAGATAATAACTATAAATAGAAGAGAGGTGTATAAATCAAATAAGTGACTAGCATACAAATTGAGGGATGTATTGGCATTAAAAATATATAAAATAACCAACAACTCACTTCCTCTATGCTTTCTCCCAACTTTGGAGCAAACAACAAGTGCTCAAAGTGTATGCCATCTCTCTCATCACAACCCCTCCATATATTTCCCTTCTTAAAAACAACCAAAACAAGGTGAATATTAAACCCTTCCATATGTATCCTTCACTTACCCCTAAAACTCCCCAACCATAGTGTAAGGATTTCCTTTTTTCTTTTTTTTGTTTAGTCTTATGAAAAATGTACTTGTATAAGAGCTTTTGTTTTGTTTATTCATTTCTTCTTTTCTTTTTTCTTTTTTGAAATGTCAATTCGATATGTTGAGGTTGTTGGAATTTATTTATCTATTTCTTTATTTTTGTACTTCATTATCAGGTTGTGGAATCACAAGTGAAAAGACTATGCATTGAGGCACAAGAATGCATAGTGATGGGCAGATGGTTGGATTTGGCATCACTTATGCTCACTTCCGCTGACTTGATATTTTCTAAAGTTTCTGATAAAGGTACAACTTGCACTAATAGATCATTTTATCACTCCCATGGTGATCCATGCAAACAAGAAGGGTTTGAACACCACACGTCAAGCAATTAAATGTGTTTCTCTGATGAATCTTCAAATTCTACTTGCTTTTATTGAGATGCTGTTATATGGTCATGAAATGATGTACCCTGCTTGCATTTATTATATAATGACATAGATGGAACAATTTGTTTACTATTGTCCATTTTTTAAAAGATAATTTGCTATAATATACTGAGAAAAGATGAATTATTTCGTTGTTGTAGTTTGCTACACGTACTAATATGTCTGGTTGCAAAGCTGCAACTTTTGAAATTTTGCTCTTGAATCCACCCTCCTACTCTCGTATGCATGTCCTTTTTAACTATTGATGCAGGGAGGTTGTTGATTTTCTCCCATTTGATGTAATTGTCAAACCATCAATGGTGGAATCCTACTCTCGTATGAATGTCCTTTTTAACCATTGATGCAAAAATCTGGTGATTTGCCCCTATATGATGAAATTGTCAATCCATCAATGACGGAATGGTGCTACATTTGTGTGTGCATGTATTTGGCTTTCTTATGTGATACACCATGTTTCACTATGCCATCCAATGGGCTTGGATCCACGTGTTCTAGGAAGAACAAACATGGCCATGGACACAAACGCGAACACGGCGGTTTCAAAAAAATTAGGTCATAGACAACAATTTTTTTTATTGTTATGTGTACAATAATATAAATATTACATTGATAAACAATCAAAATTAAAATTAATTTAACATAACAAACAAACTAAATTTAAATACGTCAGAGACTAGATTTGTGTTGCATTAGGCTCCAAGGATCTTTAGAAGCTGATCTCTCTTTCTTTGTATAAGATCGCCTTAACTCGCCCCTTTTGCTCCTGGTGTGGTGGTCTCGTGCCAGCTTAGTGCCTACCATAGCTTCCTAGAAGGGCTTAGCCTAACTATGTACAATTTTATTTGATCTAGGTGAATATTGGTCTATCGACTACATGGTTGACATAGAAATATTGGCATTGGGATAATTTACGTGTGAGTGATAATTGTTTCTTATAATTTCTGGGAGAGCTCAGTCAATAATATCATTGTGGTGTATTTGTCTGTAAAATGATATTGTTGCTGATGTCCCATTTTTGTTAAAGTCATTTACATTTGCTTATCTGCTCTTGGGATCTCCTACTGCAGATCTTGAGTGCATCTTCACTGTTATTTGCAATCTTGTCACAAAGCCTGAAAGTTTGGATGAATCATTAGAGATGGCAAAGCTTATATCCACAAAAATCACCCAACAACCAAATGAAAAGCCTGCCCTGCGCTTGAAGATGTAATATTAATTGATGATCATGATTTCAGCTATTATGGTCCTTCGAATGCTACATTTTACGTCTACTTTTACTCTTTTTGTTTTTTGTCAGCATGTTCAATCTGTACAACCTACTGGAGAATCCATACAGCCGATTCTTTGTTTACATGAAGGCCCTTGATTTGGCAGTCAATGGAAAGGTCTCTGAACATATTATATCTTCTTTTAAAAAGATGGATGATTTCTTGAGAGAATGGAATATTGGGATCCAGGATCAGAGGAAACTCTTTCTCACTATCTCTAATATTTTGAAAGATAGTAAAAGGTATAATTGAAGGTGTTCCTTTTAAGTTGAAGGCATAATTATTCTTTTTGTTATGTTTGTTTATTGTTATCAAAAAGTTTTTGTTTGTTTTTATTTGTATTTTCTTAAGGTGAAAAGTGCAAATAGTTTTCTCTGTTCTGTTTGTTGTATTTTTTCTAATTTATTTAGTTAATCTTGTTATTAATTCCAGCTCGGCAAAGGATTCTTTCAAATTCCTGACTAAATATCTGGCAACTTTTTCTGGTGAAGATGCACTTACTATGGGTGAAGCTAAGGAGGAAGCTGCCCGCACTATTATAGAATTTGTGAAGGCACCTGATATGTTTCAGGTATTGCAGTCTAACTGAATATTGAATATGGAGTTTACAGGTAAAAAGGAGGTATTAGATAAGCTTTGATTGATAGGTAGTCATTAAAAAGAGGTGGTGGTTGTTTATTAAAAATCGGTTAATGCGGCTGTCGGTTATTAGCAAGGGACTTTAGGTGTTGCATATTTTAGGGTTTCCACTCTTTCTACCTTCTCCTTTTATTTTTTGGGGGAAATTTGTGCATAGTTTGCACCAAATTAAGGAAATACTGACTTGTTTTGCATTTTTTATTACAATTTGGTCTGTACCTAACCTTCGTCCCTCCAAAAAATGAAGATTTTGTTTTGCACTTTTTATTTGTGTCCTGTTGGGGCTGCAACTCGTGGGGAGGTAGGGGTGGTGGTAACATTGAGTCCTGAAGGATGTTTCATGTCTATACGACTATAATCAAGTTGGAAGAGATGTGGAACCTTGAAAGTAGGACTGGTCGTGGGTTGGTTGTGGTCGCGGAACCTCCAATCCGCCATCCGTCTGCTGGATTGACGGATTGGAAAAAATCAATCCGGCGGATGTGGATTGAACGGATTGGCGGATGGATGCGAATCGGTTTGGCGGTTTAAAACTTGCAAATTTTCAACGTAATTCAACATGTGCACTTCGTCAAAAAAAAAAAAAAAAAACGTGTGCACCTCCTTCCTCAACCACCACGTGTGCAATGCATATATAAATACTGTGCAGTGGTCAAATTTTCAACATACAAGTTCTGTTTGGCCGTGCAACTCACTTTTTTCACCCTGTATTGAATCATAAAATCTAATACAATTATCTCATATAAACATATGAGAGCATTATGATATCCATAAATTTTGTATGATACAACCACCCAAAATAAAGTATTACAATCATCCAAAATAAAGTATTACAGTCATCCAAAGAAAGTTTTCAAACAATAGTCATATTTTAAAAATAACTTTAAAAAAAAAAAGCAATAAAGCCATTTATTTCCTTGAGCCAAACCATGAGCCATCTAAACGTGCATAACAAAAAAATGAAATTATTTTATAAAAAAAAACACTAAAAAGTCTTAAACTTAAAACAAGTAAATTTCATTAAAACTACTCTCCGGACTTGGGCTTGAACATGAACTTGATTCCGAAACAACTACATATAACACATAACACAACAAAAACATGTGAAGTGAAGATAATAAATTTTAAATAATATAAAATAAATGAAATTTTAAAAAAAATAAATCATTGTATATATTATCCGAATCATATTGTTGTTCAAATTCATCAACATCATCCATTGCTTGTCGAAGGCATATTGGAATGCTACTTCGAAGCCAATTTTGTGTACAAACAATAACCTCCACCATCTTGGGAGCTAGTGAACTACGAAATGGATCAAGTATATGACCTCCTGTACTAAAAGCCGACTTAGAAGTAACAGTGAAAACAGGCATTGTCAACACATCTCGTGCTATAAGTAATAATACTCTATATTTTGTTGCATTAACCTTCCACCACTCCAAGATATTAAATTGAGCATTTGTCCCACCTTTCTCAATATCACTCAAATACTTGTCCAATTCCGACGTATTCCCAATACTACAAAATTGTCCCTCCAAAAATGAGTTAAATTGAGAAGTGTGGATCATTTTCATCTATTACCACATCTATTGTTTCATTTACATTGAAGGCATGCGCATTTGTTAAATCAAGCGTAGCATAATGATTATGTAATTGACTCAAACAATTTTTCACCTTGTCTAACATTTCTTTCACTTTCACCACATCCCTACCAAAAATTGTTGAAAAACAAAATTGCAAGTATGTCATTTTTCTTCGAGGATGCAGTACAATCGCAACATACAAAAGGAGATTGATTTTATCCCCATTTCCCCAATACTTGTCAAACTTCTCTTTTATTTTCTTTGCCATTGAAGACAAAATAGAATCATTGTCTTTGATTATTTGTCCAATCATGTTTTCAATGACAAAAATTTTCGTGTAGAATGTATTTGAAATAACAAATAAAGACCCAGAAAATCTCTTTGTTGCATTGTAAAACAGTTTAAGAAATTTCAAAAACGCCTTGCAATTATCCCAATCCTTGGCTGGAGGCATCTCTTTCCTCTCATCCCCTTCATTATCTAAAAAGTAGTGTTTATAATTGTAGTCCTCCTCACCCATTCTTTGAAAAGCACTCTCAAATTTTTCCGCCCCCTCCAACATAAGATATGTGGAATTCCACCGTGTTGGCACATCTAGCCACAAGAGACTCTTACTCTCAATTTTCAAACTTTCAACATACTTTTTAAAAGTGTCAAGGCGGTTTGGAGAAGACCTCACATACCTCATTGCATGCCTTACATTTGCTATGCAAGACTTAAGATCCTTCAATCCATCACTAACAATGAGATTTAGAATATGCTCACAACAACGCAAATGTAAAAAGTCATGGCCCAAGAGTTCCCTTCTACAGTTTTGTAGTTCGTTTCAAGAATCTAATGGTTAGATTATTAGAACTCACATTATCAACAGTTAAGGTAAAAAGGCCATCAATGTCCTACTCTTTTAAGAGTGTCTCAATTTTTTTACTAAGAGTTTCTCCTTCGTGGTCTTCAACTTGACAAAAATTAAGGATCTTCTTTTGTAACTTCCAATCATCATCAATGAAATGTGCTGTTAGACACATATAACACAAATTTTTGTATGAAAGTCCATGTGTATGTGGTAAAGCAAATTCTACGCCCCTTCACAATTTTCTTTAACCTCTCCCTTTCATTAGTGTATATGTCTATATGTCGAGATGGGATCCTGAACTTGGGTTGCATGACATTACGAAACCTCTTAAAACCAACCCCATCCACAAATTTAAAGGGCAATTCATCAATTACTATCATCTCGGCAAGATACCTCTTAGCAACTTCTATAGAAAATGATGTAGCTACAACATCAACAACACCCTCCCCACCAACTTCTCTAGGTTTAAATCCCAATGTTTGTTGCCCACGAGTATCCCTATATGGATACTTTGTACAATTTTTCAAATGAGTTAATAAATTACTTACTCCATAACTCTTAGAGCCTGCAATTTATTTTTTCTTACAATACTTGCACAGAATCCTATCTTTCCAATCAATACCCTTAATCTTTTCAAAATGATCCCAAAGCTTTGATTGTGTTCTCCAATTACTACTACTTTTGGCCAGGGGTGGTCTAGGAGGGGGAGCAGTAGGTTGGGTAGAGGGGTCAATAGAAGATTTAGGCTCAACATTAGGATTCACAAAAAATGCTTCTTCACTTGGACGACCTATGACCAAAATATTATCAAATAAACTGTCAAAAACCAATAAAAAATCATTCAAAATATGCTTTTGAAATCCATGCTCTGTTTTTCTTTATAATTTCAAACAAGATGACATTTATGGGTGACACATGCTTGCATGAATAACAAACATAGAAAAATGGAAGAAAAAGAGAATCATGGTAGATAGGCAATATACAGTGTAATAACAAAAAGGACAACAAGGCGGACTAAGTTTAACCAATATATAATGTGCACTCAACTGTTCCTCAATGTCAACCAACCAATGTAACAATGCCAGCTGTTACAGAATTTTACGAAAATCATAAAAGAATCTGTTTTTGTATGTCAGTGGTCCTATTGTGCATGGAGTGATCCCATCAATACCAACTCTGGTTGTACTCTTGCATTTTATTGTTTTGCTTATTTAAATTAGCTTATAAATCAAAATTTTAGTTCCCAATTCTTCTCTCCAAATATCTATTCAATATCTCATTAATTTTCAAATTGGGTGTTCTTAATGAATTCCTGAAAACAACAGATTAAAAAAATATATATTGTCTGATGGCAATAAGAATGTAATAGATAAAGATTAACAATTCCTTGCAGTTGAATATAGAGAAACTTTCAGCTATGGAGTCTTTAATGTTATAAGCATTTTAAAGAAGTCAATTACATTATTACAATTCAATTTTCTTCTTTATCTCCATTTCTACTATTTCTATATGATGAAGCAACAAATGGGTATACCTAGCAAAAATAATCTTAACCAGCAATAAGTCCCAAAACCAGAAGTGTTGTCTCAGTTTTCACACCTTTTTTTCTTCTTCTTATACTAGACACCATACTAGGATACCACTCATCATATCACTTGTTTTCTCACTAAGTTTTATCATATTTTTTTGGAAAAAGAAACCAAACCTCTCTGGTTTTCGAACTGTAAGCTTCCTCTCTGTAAGCTTCTTCTCTCTGTAAGCTTGTGTAGAACCTCTCTGGTTTCAGAACTGCAACAAAAAATAAAAAATAAAAAACAAAACAAAACAAAACAAAACAAAAAAACATATTAAAGATTGAGGAGAAGAAAGAAGAAGAGAAAAGAGAGGTTTACCGAATATCAACAAAATAAAAAATAAAAAAATAACAGATTAAAGAACAGAACCCTCACACTCTGGATCTCACCACCTCTCTGGTTTCAGAACTGGAGCAAAAAAAAAGAAGAACAAATTAGAGATTGAGGAGAAGAAGAGGAAAGAAGAAACGAGAAGAAAGGTTTTCAAACTGGAATTAAAAAAAAGAAAAATAAAAGAAGAACAGATTAGAGATTGAGGAGAAGAAGAGAAGAAGAGAAAAGAAGAAGACAAAGCAGAGGTTTTTGAACTGGAACAAAAGAAAAATAAAAAATTACAAAACAGATTTAGAGATTAAGGAGAACAAGAGAAGAAGAGGAAAGAAGAAGAAAAGACAATATCTCACCACCACCACGATCGTCGATCCTCTTTCTGTGGAAGAATGGGTTAGGGTTTTAATATGAGATTCTCAAAAAAGGGTTGGGGGCGCAAATACAAATCCCAAAAAAATCATCGATCGCCTATTGCTTTTCAGTGTAGATCGTCGTCGCCGTCGGTAGATGGGTAGGGTTTTGGAGAGAGAGAGTCTATCGAAGAAGAATGGGGTTGGGTTAGGTTACTGAGTCTAAGATCAAAAAAAAAAGAGGGGGGGGGGTGTAAAAAAAATGGAGACAAAAGCGGACGGGTTGGGTTCAACGGGTATAATGGCGGATCAACTGCAACCTGACCTGAACCAGCGAAAACACAGAATCTAGGCCCGTATCCGCCCGCACGTGTCACACATCCACCCAAATGTGGTCGGGTCGGGTTTGGCCTGCCGACCGGTGGATCCGCTGATCAGCCCTACTTGAAAGAGTTAATGTCCAGCACAAATGTATGTGAATGCTTTTTGCGTTGCAGCCCTTAAAGGTAGAATTAGCTGCAATGTTCTTAAGCCTAGATAAGCTAAAGAAGGTAGCCATCATTTTTAATTTCAAATCTTGTAGACCTGATTAGCTTTTAACCTTTACATAATCATGGCTGCATGTTTCAATGATATCAGCTCTTAAAATAGCTGAGTAAATGATTTTGTGATGTTTGAGCCTTGTTGGTGCTATGCTAGGAGATAGAAATAACAGAGCTGTGAGAATAATTGAAAAAAATCGCATGTGAACAAGCAGAGTTTCGGATGAATTTTTTGGGGGTCTTTGGATGAAGGTGCAAGGTTTCTTTGACATTTTTTTAGTCAGTCCTGAACATGTTTTATATGCTGAGTGATTTGTCTGTAGGCATCATGTTTATTATTATTATTTTATTTTTTTGTTTTTTTTAAATTTGTGGTTCTAGGCTTGTAGCATCAAAATATTCTTGTAGCTTGGTTGTTCTTTTGTTCAGGTGTTACCATACTTTTTAGTCTTCTTTAGCCTAGATTATACTCTAGCTGTTTTTGTAATCTAATTATCAATTCTTTGTGGTGTTGCAATGCAGTGCGATTTGGTCGATATGCCTGCTGTAGCACAATTGGAGAAAGATGCTAAATATGCATTGGTATATCAGCTTCTGTTGATCTTTTTGACACAGAGGCTGGACGCATACTTAGATTTTCAAGCAGCAAATTCCACTTTGCTGAAAAGCTATGGTAACTAATCATTTTGGCTGCATTTAATTTTGTTGGGATTTGCCTTGCCTTAGTACACCAACCAGGCAATACCTTGACCACAGACCTCACCGACCAGGGAGGTCGGATATTATTAGGTAGCTGAGCTAATCTAAACATTCTGGAGTATTTTCTTATTGTTTATTTAATTTGTTCCTTTTAATGGTGTAGGTCTTGTCCATGAAGACTGTATAACAAAGATGAGGTTGATGTCATTGGTGGATCTTGCCTCTTCAGAATCTGGCCAAATTTCTTATGAATTAATCAAGGACACTCTTCGAGTAAAATTTCTTTCCCATCCCTGCATCTGCTGCTCTGTTACCTTGTGCACTTTGTCAATACAATGATGCGTGGTTACTTTGCAGATCAATGATGATGAGGTGGAAATGTGGGTAGTCAAGGCAATCACTGCAAAGTTAATTGATTGTAAGATGGATCAGATGAATCAAACTGTAATTGTAAGGTGCGTTGTATGGTTACCCCTGTGTGTGTGTGTGTGTGTGTGTGTGTGTTTCTGTTTGATCTGATTTATGAAGTTCAGCATTGACTGATGAATAATAACACTATTTGGTGTGTAGCCGCTGCACTGAGCGCATGTTTGGGGAGCATCAATGGCAAACCCTTCGAACAAAGTTAGCAACATGGAGGGTAACAAGTTTTTTCCTTTCTATTTATTTGTTTGTTTCTTCTCTTTTCCCTTTTTTTTTTTATACTAAGGCCTCGTTTGGGAACAGGCTAATTTAGTAACTTTTTGGCTATTTGGCTAAAAAGGTAGGTAAAAAAAACTTGTATGTTTGGGATGACTTTTTGGCTAATTACGAAAAGATGTGCAAAAAGTAGAGAGAAAAGAGAATCTTTGACTTTTTGGTATAAGTTGTTGGCTTTTTGGCTAATTTAGTAACTTTTTGGCTAATTGGCTAAAATAGCCTCTTGCCAAACGAGGCCTAAATATATATATATATATGTGTGTGTATATGTTGTTGTACTATGTTGCATCATCTGGATCTAAGTTTTGATAGTCAAAAGTGGGCATTTGGTTTGTTGTTACCCAGTAATGGTCAGTTAAGCAATTGATTTTTTAAGGTTTTGTTTATTTGCCCAGATTAGGCTGGTGGATAGGAAATAGAAATAAACCTAATGTGCTTTTTTGGTAAAATTCACATAGAAGTATGCCAGTGGCCTGAGTAAAGCCAAGGAGACAATAACATTATATCCTTTGTGGTGTGGCTAACTCCCTATGAGGTATTTATATGAATTTCCAACGTCGAAGGCTTTTGATCAATTAGAAGTAAAAATGAATAGAAACATAGTACCAAAAAAGGGTATCCAGTCAGAGACGAAAGGGGAGGACCATATTCTTCCTTAATTTGAAAGTTACACCTATGCATTAATTCCTTGGCTTTGGGTTTGAATATTGGCTGGATACAAGCTATTCGACAAAGTGTTAAAATGTTCTTTGAACCTGATAACGATAGATTACACGAAGCTATTCTCTCTCTCTCTCTCTCCCCGTAACATCTTACTGTAGTAACTGTACTGATGGTTCTCTTCTTTTTGTTCAGATCTAATTAGATTAGAGTTTCAGATTGGAAAATTAACTTTTATTTTCAAATTTCTGAAAACTCAATGCTATATGATTCTCAGATTCCAATTGCATGAATTTGTTGTTTTTTTTATTTGTGTTAACTATTGTTGGAAGTCAGTTTGGTCTATGGAAAATTGGTAGTCAGAAACAATAATGAGTTTTGTTCTAAAAACTACATAATTGAAATTCATTGTTGGCTAATAAGTGGTTTTTTTTTTTTTTTTTTTTTTTGGGGGGGGGGGGGGGGGTTCTTATGCCACCGTACTTGCAACCCTAGTCCCATCATGAGCATGTTCTAGTCTGGTTTGCATGTCTGTTATTCATTTCATATGAACGTCAATTTCTTATTGAAGTTTTAACCTTGAATGCCCACTTTTTCTAGGGTAATATTGCGAATGTCATCAGCACGATCCAGGCCAACAAGATAACAGAGGATGGCACACAAGCAATGCAAGGCTTGACGATACGTTAAGATTTCTCAGCGGCAATGTATCCTTGTTGTTCAGTGATCGGTCAACCTTGGGGACAGGCCCAAACTACACTAGTTTCATTTGTTCTTGTGTTTAGTTGGAATTGAGTTGAAACGAATCTTGGAAATTTTGGCCTGAAATAATTGAGTTCCAGGTGTTTTGTTAATGGTTTAATGTGCTACATTTTTGAATTGGCTACCTTTGACGGTGATATGAAAGTTGTGAATCTTGATTTAGCTATTTATTTTCTGGCATAAAATTTGTTATATTATATAGAAATAGATCTATAAACATCACTAGGGCGACTTGTGATCTCTCTCTGTTGGGTGATGTTCATGCAAATTTCGAGTCTGAGAAAAACCAAAGTGTGCCCCTAGATAGATGCCATTTTAATGTCCTTCATGCATTTAAGAGCTATTCACCTTATTTGTTTTCAGTTTTTCAAAAACACTTTTCAGAAAATTTAATTTTCTTGTTTTTCTTTTTTTTTTTATTGAAATTTTTAAATATTTTTTTTTAATTTTTAGACACACTTAATATAACTACACTTAAAAATTTTGGTGAAAAAAATCTTTAAAAAGTTCACTAAATATCAAAAATATATAAAATAAAATAAAAACTAAAATTCAATATATTTTTTATATTTTTGTGTATTTATTAATTTTTTAAAATATTTTTTCATAAATATTTTACCATTTAAATACATCTAAATAAGGTGTATCTAAAATTTTTTTTTAAAAAATGTTTAAAATTTAAAAAATATTCATTAAAAATGAAAAAATACAAAAAAACAAAAACTTAATTTTCAGAAAGTTGAAGTTAAATGCACTGAATGGTTCTACAAAAGTAGAACGTAGTGTTTGTTTGTACAGCAAGTAATGCTAAGTTTGGGAACCTCTCACATTAGTCAAAAAGTTAGTAAAAAAAAAAAATCAAGAAGTTACGAATAAAAAAATTCTTCTCTACTTTTTACATGTTTTTTTGTATAAAATTAAAAAAACATACTAAACATATTAATTTTTTTTTACTTCATATTTTAGTGCTTCACATTTTAGCTAAAAAGTTACCAAAATAATATATTTTCAAAACAATTTATTGGAAACTTTCCTAATGGGGTACAAATAATAGTAAATTAAAAAGGTCTTCTCCCTTGATTTCAAAGACCAAAATGTTAGTTCAAGGATATCCTCAGATCACTCAAGTCATGCAAGAAATGTCAAATTACAAAACGACCAATATCATTACTCTGTTTCTTTCTCAGCGAATTGCACTTCAACATAGGGCTTTAGAGCCGTGTTACATTTCGGATTTGGGTCCTGCTTGTAACTGCCTCCTTACCAATGCAGTGTAAATACCATCCTGCATGAGAAGTTCATCGTGGGATCCACTTTCAGCAATCATACCATCTGATATGACCGCGACCAAGTCCGCACTTTTGACAGTTGACAGCCTGTGAGCTATAACAAGAACTGTCCTGCCCCTCATCAGAGAATCCATGGCATCCTATACAGCATATTCGAAATTGGTCAGTTGAAATGTAAAAGGAAACGAGCCATATCTTGGATAGGCGGCTAAAATATAGTAACTTTGTCACTTAACGCTAGAAAAATAAAATAAAATAAAATAAAAAGGAGATGTTTGCCAAGACAAATGAGTATCGGCTTTGAGGGAAAGAATATCTGGGCAATGCAAAAATTGGAAGGACAAGATTACAAAGAAGCATCCAAGTATCGGCTTATAGACTCTTTTTTTTAATTTTTATTTTCACCACTACTAAATAATTGTTATAGAATGCGGCAACCCTATAAGTCATCAGCTTGAATGCATTTCTTTGATTACATGAACTATTCAAAACACTAGCAGCCGTGTGTACAAATTGAAAAATATCTCCTCACCACCGCCATCCGTTTTCACTCTCCTCCATCTCCTCTTTCCCATGGTTTCTCTCTCCTCTCTTCTTGTTTGAACTGAGATTTGAGAGTCAAATAATAAAATTGTGTGGTTCTCAGATTTGTGAGAGAGGAGTTAAAACCGTCTGCAATTGTGCTAGGGTAGGGTGTTAAACTGATGAATTTGGACAGTTGATGAAGGGCTAGTTGTTGTTGTTTTTTGCCCTAGTAAGCATGACACAATTTCAGATTAACGTTCACACCAAATAGAGTGCTCACATTATGATATAGCATAGATAGTATAGATGTGAATTATTCAAAACATGTGAATCTCACCTGGACTAGGAATTCACTCTCAGCATCAAGAGCGCTTGTGGCTTCGTCCAATAGCAGAACTCTAGGGTTCATCAAGAGTGCTCTTGCAATTGCTATTCTTTGTTTCTGACCTCCGGACAGCCTCAACCCACGTTCTCCGACAACAGTTTCATATTTTTCAGGAAATGCTGCTACAAAATCATGTGCATTTGCCATTTTCTGCGTCATTACCAGTCCATCAGCATGCACAATCGGAGTTTGCAATTTTTTGAGGGCGAGCTTACTTTAGAAAAGAACAAATAAACAAAAGAAAAGACGAAAGATCATGGAAACTTACAGCCACATTTTCTATCTCTGCACTGCTGGGTTTTCCATCAAATCCATAGGCGATGTTATCCTCAATAGAGCAATTGAAAAGAACAGGCTCCTGACTCACTATACTGATCTACAATTTTAGAAAGCATGGAAGATTAGGGCGTTTTAAAAACTCTACATGGTAAACTTAATCTATGATTTGGTAGAAATAATGAATGGCACATACATAACTGACATATTAATAGCTTGCATAGAATTAATAACGTTTCTTCCATGCAACAAATGGATTACAGAAACTGGAGCATACTAACTTCCACAAAATTTGTAACCATTACAAATTTGGCTTAAATATGGCTATAAACATTTGTGAGGAAACTCATCTAAGTTGTTGCTCAGTTAAATAAAAAACACATCAAAATGGGTAGGGACCTTATGATATAACTGTTTTTGGGTCAGGATGTCCAAATTTATTTAACAGTAAAGTTGATTTAAAATAGGTCAATGTATTTAAACCGTGTATGCAAACCAAAACTCAGGCACAAGATTACCTTTTTGTGTAAATATTCATGTGATATTTCCGCAAGGGAAACCCCATTTAGCAAAATCTTTCCTTTGATTGGATCGTAAAACCTTTCAATCAAGTTTGCTATTGTGGTCTGCAACAAAGATGTACATGTAATTAGCAATGTAAAATGTTTCCATTCATCTAAAAACTGGCAAGAACAAAATACAAGCTTTAGATTCTCCATAAAGGAAAAAACACGGGATAATAATGATAGTTGTAATACTTTTCCACCACCACTTGGACCAACGAGTGCAACTTTGGACCCAGGTCTCAGTTTTAAAGTTATCCCCTGCAATTCAAACAATGTTGTTAGATGGAACCAAGAAAAATAGTGAGAAACCAAACGTTTTCATCATAGAAAACATTCACATATTACGAGAATTTCTAAATATACTCATACTATGCTTGAGTTCATCTTGTAAGTGGAAAATGATAATTAATAAAACTAAACTCATGATCTGATATCAGTAAACATTAACACTTAAACAAGACCACAACTGAGTCAGGAGAAAGAAAAACACTTTTGCTTTATATGTTTGTTGTAATAAAGTCACACCTCATGTGAAACTGACTAAAGTTGATACCTTGAGCACCATATGACTTGGGCGAGAAGGATAAGCAAACCAGACATCATCTAGTTCAACATCTCCATCTGGATTGCTGCACATATAATGGCAAAACATAAATGGAAAAACTATGGTTTCAATCTCGGTAAGAGAATCAAAACACTGTGCATTTAGAGAGAGAGAGAGAGAGAGTCACCCTATAGGGCATTTATCTCCTGATTTTGGCATGCTAGACACACGATCTAGAAGCTGAAAAACTCTCCTACTAGCTCCAGCAGCTTTCATTGCAGTCGTATATAATCCAGATAGTGAGGATACAGAAGACCCAACTGCAGGTGGAGAGTTTAGCACATTGAAGGTCAAAGCTCCCATATTACTGCCAAATTAAAAGCAATTAAATATTTGAATTTTACTACCTAAACACTAATTAATAAGAAAAAAAAGGATCAAGGGGAAGTTAATTCTCAAATTACGCCTTAATTAATTATGACTTAGGATATACTACTGTTGTGTTTGATTGGAGGATTTGAGGAGGGATTTGGAAAGAGAAATGAAAAAAGTAGGTGAAACGTGAATAAAATATACCTACATTTCACCTAATTTCATACCCCTTTTCTCCTTCCCTTTCCAAATCTCTCCCCAAATCCCCCAACCAAACACAGCGTACATGAATATTTTTTCATCATCCAGTTATACTTAGGGCGACGACTTCAATAAAAATAGTTCAACGTGCCTTTCCCTGTGACTTGAACTCGCAATTTTGTTAGTTTTGCTCTTTACCTTGCATCACCATCAACTTGGATAAAATGATCCATCCCTATTGCAGCATCTTGCATTCACCACACATGGCCAAAACCTCAGCGATACATTCTAACATCTTGTTCTCAATAAAGCCTCCTCTAACTTCTCATGAATAGATTTGGATTTGGTTCATTTTATATTTGTGTGTTTCCATCATCTGTCTCCACATCCATATTTGGCTACACTCAATTCACCGCAATCGAAAATAACAAAATCACTCAACTGTTGACATGCTTGGAACAGAAAATGGCCTCTTGCTGAGATTATGAATTTCATGAAGTTTTCTTTTTTACATATTCAATAAACTTCATTTGGCCAAATTTCATGGAGTAAGTTTCAAATTTTAATTTTATTTTATTTACAACTAAACAGATGCCAAACCACTGGTAAATTTTACAAGCAATAATCACTGAGGGAAGTACCTGTGAGGCTATAAAGAATGAAAGATGTAAGAGATCCTGCTGTCATGGAACCCATTATTGTCAAGTACGCTCCATAAATGACCACTATGATAACAGATAAAGTAGAGGCTGCATTTAGCCCTCCAAAAAAAAAACCAACTATTTTCTGCAGTCACGAACAGTGAAAACTCAAAGCTTAGGAACTTTCTCATTAGAAACATCCGAAGAATAGAATTAGAAGGGAAAGGGGAGCATAAATCGCATCGTGGAACTCACGGCTTGTTGAAGTCCAAGCTGCAGGGTCACATCAACTTTCTCTGAGTAACTTGAAATTGTATAAGCTTCTTTGGCAAAAGATCTTACAGTTCGAACAGCCCCAAACGATTCCTAAAATAACCAAGAATGTCATTAAATGACCCAACAGTTTGACAAACAAATCTTCATAATAATGAGTCATTAGAATGTCCAAAGAATCAATAAATGCCTTCATATATATATATATATATCAATGTACAGAAAAAAGAAAAGAAAAAGGAAGCTAAAAATGCAAAACAGTTAAGAATTACATTAGATTAATGACAAAGAACATCTAATCAGACCTTGAAATCTTTTAAGGAGATTCTTACACCCATTTCAGAAACGACTTTTTTTTAGATTGTTAGCGGATGATGCATTTCTCTATGTATTCAATCCTGCTATTATATGTATTCAATCCTGCTATTATAATTCATCTAGCAAAGAGAAAAAGGAATCCATATTCAAGATTAAATTTGGATTGTTTTACCGATAATTTGGGACTACTGGTTATCCAAATCCTGATCATCTCATCTAAAGCAACACTTTTTGTTAAACGTATGCTTATTAAAGGAGTCTGATCTTTCCACTTCTACAAACACAACTAGAATAAGGAAAGATTAGGAGTAGAAAATAAGTTAAGTTTTTAACATTGCATTAGTTTTGAATGCTAAATGGTTCATGAATCATTTGAATCGTTGTTAACAAAAAGCGCTAATACCCATACAATTTATGATTTTTTTTTAATAACAACAAAATTTTATTAAAACGGGAAAGAGAAAGAGGACAAGAAGTCCTCATACAAAGAAAGAAAAAAAGAAGAAAAAGCAAAACAAAATCGCAAAACTCGTAACCCTAAGGATGGCAAACAGCAGCCCAATCCCTAGAGATCAAAAACAAAGGGACTCCTTTAAAAGGAGGAGATACAAATGCCCAAAAAGGGGCCAAATATTCCGCCCTATCCCACAAAGCCTCTACACATACTTCCTTGCCTTCAAAAATTCGAACATTTCTCTCCAACCATATAACCCAAAATATAGCAAAAACAATGCCTATCCACATTGTTTTGGCTTTCTTGGTACTCCCAAACCCATCAAACCGAATAAGAAGCATATGCATACACTCCCGTGGAGCAACCCACTGCACATCACATAACCTAAAAAGACGCTGCCATAATACAGCAGCCACTGGGCAATGAAGAAAAAGATGATCCGCTACCTCCAAATTTCTCTTGCACATCACACACCATTGGGGGCATAGAGAGTGATTAGGTCTTCTCCTCTAGAGAACATCATTAGTTGTAACACCCTTTTGAGCCAAAGACCACAAGAAAAACTTCACTTTATGAGGGACACTCGCTTTCCAAATTTTCTTATGAAAAGGGAACAAGGGAACCGAGGGATTATGTTTTGGAACGCTTGTTCTGATATATGGTACACTTTCATTCCAAATCAGTAAATTTACTGATCCAAAGCATTCTAAAATCTTTTTCCTATCTATTTCCTAATAAGTTAAGTTTTTAGCATTGCATTAGTTTTGAACGCTAAATGGTTCATGAATCATTTGAATCGTTGTTAACAAAAAAGCGCTAATACTCGTACAATTTATGTTTTGGAACGCTCGTTCTGATATACGGTACACTTTCATTCCAAATTAGTAAATTTACTGATCCAAAGCATTCTAAAATGTTTTTTCTAATATTTATCATAGGAGAAAAAAAATCAAATATAATGAAATAAAATCTGGAGAGAGTGGAGTTTTGGAAAGACAAATGTGAATATGGTGGGGAGGGGGGGGGGGGGGGGGGGGGGGGGAGAATAATGCTCCAAAAAATGTGTTTTTTACATGATCAATTTGATATCACTGTTTCATTGGATGTCTATTTTTTGACAAAATATTTCTCTCACCTTAAATAAATTATAACAGTGTATTTTATACAAGCCTGTCCCTACTACACCACATCTAAAGTATGTGGCATACCATGTTTCCGTTGCCATTTCTTGTATAGGACCGATCCGTTTTGCTGATAACATCGATTTGAATGATCAATAGAATCATCAATGGAGCTTCTGATATGGTCCTTTGATGGGCTCCAGATAAGCTAGTGTATGCATCCAAACCCTAATACTACTATTTAAAGTTAAACTACTTTACTCATTAAAAAGTTTTGTTTTGTCCATACTGGTATAATTGGTGAAAATTATGTGATTTCTTGACTTGCTCCAAAAGAAAGAAAAAGTCAGACACAAACCTCGGCAATTGAGGCAGCTACTGCAGCAGCAGCTTGAGTTTTGTGTGAAAGTTCACGAAGAAAGCGCCCAAATTTACGCACAGCAACTGAAATTACAGGCACAATAACCAAGGCCAGCACTAAACAGGAATGAAACATTCAATTAGTGTCCTTTAGTTGAATGAACATAGAAGCAAGCAAACTCTTCTATTCAAAACCAATCACTCACATGTTAACTTCCATGATGAGGAGAGCATGAAGACAACACCAATAAGTGCAGTAGTTAGATTTCGGAGTGCCTCAGAAAGGTTGGTTGTTGCAGCATTTTTTATAATTTGGGTGTCTTCTGATAGCCTGCTCAGGAGCTCTCCTGTCCGGGTAACATCATAGAAGGCTATTTCCTGTGGAACATGTTAGTGACAACTTTTTAATCAAAGTTTCAAATATAAATTTAGACATAGGAAAATAATTTCAGTAAATTCTTTAAATTCTTTCTACGATTTCCAAACAGCAAACTTGCTTCCAAGTACTTCAATAATGGTAAAGAAGTTATTCAGATTGACAGTGCATATGGCAGATCCAAAGTATTAAATCCAGCAGACCAGTTTACACAGTGGTCAAGCATGTAATATCACAAATGTCTCATATGAATTTTATAAAAATAAGCATTGATGGACCCCTCACTTGCTGGATAAGGTGACTAAACAAGTCCCTCCTCAAACGAGCAACAACCCTTTCACTTGCGGAAGAAAATAACCATGCCCGAATTGCTGTGCATATAGAACTGCAAAAATGAAGAAAGCAAAAAACCAAAGTTATTTTGTGTAATTGAAACTAATTCTGATCAAACAATAAACAAACCAAGGTGTGTGAAAAAAAAAAATACAATCATGAATAGTGGCTTATAGTAGAAAAGCTAAGGTGTAGTAAAAAAATGCCGGCTACATGATTTTTATAGCTTTGGACAAAGAGCTCAGTTCTAAATAAGTATATAGAATAGGATGATGAAAATCAGGTGAGCTTAGGGATGGCCATTTTATTCCGGTCAGCGGAGACCCGCCCATACCAGCCCGAATGAGGTGAATTTTACCCGACGCGACACTTACGTTGAAGCAGGGGTGGATTATATTTTAGTCACCCGCAACGAGAGTGGGGCGGGGGCGGGTATCGCCTCCCTCAATCCAAATCTGACCCGACATAATTAATAATATATATGTATATATATAATATAATTAGATATAAGAAAGGAATACTAAAAGTCTATGGTTCTGTTTAAATATAAATAAATAATAATCTTAAAAGTCTCACTGTTTATATATATGGAAACGAGAAATTATTTATTGCGTTACGAATTTAAATGGTTCCCAATTTTTTTGGCTATTTGAAATGTGGTCAGGTATCCGCAGGGGCAGGGATGGGATTGAAAATTTTCAACCGTAACGGAGTTGGGACGGGGGCGGGGTGTAACAACCCTCACAGACTGTCACAGCTCAATGGACACTATTTATTTACTGTATTGGCTTCCGCCAGGCCCTGTACTCTGTTTTACTGTATTACTGTTAAGCAGGCCTTCGGTAATCTCAGATTACTGGCCGGTTACGGTGCTAAACCCATAGGGCCGGGTTTGGGTCGTGACACGGGGGATGACAAACCCGTCCCGTGGCCATCCCTAGGCGAGATGAAAAACACATCCATTAAGTATTGTATAGTGTCACTGTAAGGCTATGTTTGGATTATGGATTTAGGTAGGGATTTGAAATGGGAAAGGAAAAAGGTGTAGAAAATGTAAATGAAATATAAGCTATATTTTTTTTCACCATTTCCAAATCCATGATCCAAACACAACGTAAGTAAACATTATTACAATAAGAAACATGTTTATTAAAATCATAAAATGCCTTTTTTACGAGTTATCATTTTGCATGAAGTGTTAAAAACAACTATTCAATGGTGGAAAAACACAAAATGCTCTTTTCAAATCCTATCTGATATAAAACCAACCCATTCAATTTCTTTAGGACAAATGCTACAGAATCATCTCACACAGTAAGATAGTGAAAACCAGATAGAGTTGACTAATATTTTCACAGAGCAAGCATGCATATCAAACAAGAGAAGAAGAAAAAAAAGGGAAGAATGGTTATACCCAACAACAACAATTAGCAGAATAACTATTACGGTGCCCTTGACAGCATCCAAAGCTTCAGCTTGATCTTCAGGGGTCTTTATATCTCTTGATACAATGTCTATTATCATTCCGCCATATTTTGGCTGCAAAACAAAAAATTTGACAGGGAAAACTTCATGATATATACCAAAACAGAATTAATTAAATACTAAATTTACTGTTCAAATTATGGTTAATTTCATAATCTCATATATACTCTATTAAAATGTTGTGAACTTCACATAGCCATGTATGAGGTGAGTGCTCTCTGGGAAATTCTCATAATTCAATCATTCACTCACTTGAGTTATGTCAGGGGCCATTGGAAGTGTTAGAATCTAACACTCCTCTGCACGAGCAGCCTGCCACATGATAGAGAGATGAACAAGACGAAAAATAGTCTTGGGGGCAGAGACTTGGCCCAAGAGACCATCCAAGACCTAGCTCTGATACCATGTTAGAATTTTGGAAGCATCCAACCAAAACAATTGGTAATAAGTGGAGCAGTTTCTCGACTATATGAACCAAAATTGGATGGATTAAAGAGGCAATGTGAAGCAAGTCTCTAAAAAAAAAAATTCTCTGTGAAGTGTGGGAAAAAAGTTTGATTCAAAGGACAGTCATTTTAAGCAAATAGACGCAGAAGTCAGGTCACTATGCGGTCCATTCCTGTCAACACCCTTCATTAAAGGGACTAAAACTAGGTAATGGCCTTCTCAATAGCCAAAATTCAGTAAACTTATTTAAGTATAAACTTCCGTGTTACAAGCTAATTAATCTAAGGACCTACAGTAACAAATCATGCACCTTCATTTTCTTTTCCATTATCTGAGGAACTTCAAAAGCTTTGAAACTCAAATGCAAGGTTTCCCCACATTAACCTAAAGTCAATGCTTAAAATAAAGCATTGGAATGGCATGATTTGCACTCACCATGATAACACAGTCTGGAAAAATAATTGGCTGCCTTGGATCTCAGGGTTCACCTTTAATAGAGAAGGTAGAACATTAAGTGGATGAAAGAGCTAAATAATGAACCTCTACTCTTAAAGCTTGTATTTTGAATGTAGAGGGAACTATAAAGAGCAAAGTGAGACTTATACAGTTCCTAAAGCGCATATAAGTGACTTTGGGCTTGTAATTTTCTTTAGAAGCCATCTTATGAATACGAATTTGAAAGGACTTCGACATACAAAGCCAATCTATGGGGAAAGTAAATACCTACTTGCAATCTTTGGTACCTATCTGAAAGAGAACAATTTACACTGGTATATACATTTACCGTAAAACTGATATTGGTGTTCACTATCCTTTTCACTCAAAAGCTGTAGATAATAATTTTAATAATTGAGAGAGAGAGAGAGAGAGAGAGAGAGAGAGAGGAGGTATGACACCTAACACAAAAAATGACTTACAATGAGAATACTTGTTGTGGATGCAATCAGAAGGGCAACAGTGGCGATAATCAGATTTCCTGCATCAGGCTTCGCCTGTATATTGGGGGATGTCAATAACTTAATATACTTCACTAACACGGCTCCACTTTCAAGGGCAGTCAGAATTGATTTTTCACTTACCAGTTGAAATATTCTACAAAATCCAACATTTGCTGCCTGAATTTATCCAACAAGGTTAACTTATTAGCAAAACAGTGAGGACAGAGCAAAATGGAAATGCAGAAAGTAACAACACAAAAAGCCATCACCTGTATTGCATCTCCATGCTCAAGGTCCGATGGAGGACCATCAGCCGAGCCATCGTCATTTGCCTTCCTCCGTGCCTACAAAAGAATTCAGGCACATTTGCCATCTCATAACCCAATTGAAAATCAACTCAATACTCTTCTCCAATTCAAAAATAATCATATTCCGATTAATCTATAGGAATAAAAAAAGAAGTGAAAAGAAACATACATTTCAAGAGTTGGAAACCAAACAAAAAAGCTGTTTTTGAATCGTAGATTTGAGGAGAGAAAAAAAGGGGAAGGGAAATGTGAATGAAATATAAAATAAATTTTTTTCACATTTCCCTTCTCTTTTCTTTTCACTCCACAAATCCCTTCTCAAACATAAGATCCAAACACAACCAAAACTTAAAATTTAACTAGGAATTAAACTACTACACTCAGTATTATAGCCATGGAGGATTCAAGAATTGGTAAAAGGGGAATTCCTGCTTTTCATGATCTCAGGATCAGAACAGAACAATTCCAACTATTTTTGTAAAAGGAGGAAGGAAAGTTAGGAAATTCATGTTGCTCACCAGACACTGTAAAATTCCGAGATCTTGACTAGGGGTTTTATCAGAAAATGGGAAATTCAAACAGAGCAAATTGAAACGACTCATATACATAACTAGGAATGCAATCATATTTCAAACAGTCCAATTTACAAGCACCATATATGCATGAATTTCCACATACCCATAAAACCCAATAGGTCAAGAATAAACTCAAAGCAAAATAAACCCATATTACAAAGATGAATTTCTAACAAAACAAAGGAAGAAAACAAAGTTTTTATTATGAGATTTACCTCTTTACTCAACAGAGAAACTCTCTCACTGCCAGAGGACATAATGGATTTCGAAGTCCAATCCAAGTGCTGCTTTTTACCCATAACGAATTGTAACACAGAGACGAAAAATTGATGTTGGGAAGTCTACGGATATATAATCGATACAATAATATATCTTCAGTTCTGACTTGTGAGAGAGAGAGACTTGTGAATATTTTTTCTGCGGGAATGCGATGAGAAAGTCTTTGTCAATGATGGTGGTGCTGATGATCGACGAACAATAAACAAAGATTGGAAACAAAGCTAACTGTACGGGAAAAACTCAAGCGAAAGACAACTTTTCAAGGAGAGAAGTGGCAATCATCTTTTTGAGGAGTCCTTCCCTTTGCACAAATAGGGTCTCGCACTCACACTCTCTCCGTCTCTCTCTAGCTCTCTCTCTCTCTCGGTTACGATATTTGCTTATTTCTTTCTTTCAAAATAATAGTCTCTTTTAAAAAATTTAATTTTTTTTAAATTATCTTTTGATATTTTATTTTTTAAAAAATATTAATTATCATAATTATATTAAATTTAAATAAAAGGTAAAATAAAAAATTTATAATATTTGAATTCTTAATTTTTGAAAAGGTGTTAATATTTTCAGATAATAAAAAAATATAATAAGATACTAATATTTTGGGATGAAATAAATTTTTTTAACTGATTAATTAGTTTAATCATTGGGTTTTGAGGGAATTTTATTATTTGGTTTGATTGCAGTATTGGGGGAGTTGTTATTTGGTTATACATTATTTTAAGTTCATTAATCGAATTTTTTTATATTATAGTCTTATACCTTTTGAATATAATTACCATTAATGATAAAATTCCAAGATTATAAAACAATAAAAAAGTAAATTACATTCATTTAACTGAGATTTGAAAAAAATACAGTTAATATCATATTTTTTACATAATTATACTAACTTTCCTATAATTTTTAATTTATACAATACTTAAATCTTTTCTTATTAGTAATTTGTGGATCATATGGATAAAAAAAAATGAAATTGTTACATCTTTTTATACTAAAATGTATATTTATCTTTATTTATTTCAATATCTTTATCATCTGTATAAATTTTAGTCGTTTTAAACTTCATTAAAAAAAAAGTTGGTATAATTATAACAAACTTGCAAGATTGGTTATATTTTTCACAAACTCGTGGGAAAAAGGCATTGAAGGGGTGGGGAGTGGTGGTCTGAGAAAAGGGGCACTTTGGAAAAAAGTTTAAAAAGTCAGTTTTTTGATTTTTTAGTTTTTTTAACTCAAAAAAAACTAGCTTTTTTTAATCAAAGAAGCCAACTTTTTTGCTAAAAAAGTCATTAAAAAAGTCAAAAAATTAAAAAGTTAACTTTCTACTAATTCCTAAAATACCACATAGAGAAGCGGATGCTAGTTGTAGATGATAGAAGTATGTGAGTTAAAGTTTTAGATAAATTTTTTATTTTATATTTTTTTTAAATGTCATTTTGCGATCATGGTAGGTGCACTAAAAAAATAAGGGGAAATGCCAGAAAAATTTAAAAAAAAAAAAACAATTTTGAATTTTAAAGTGAGTGACCGTAAAATTGTGTGTATGCAAATTTTTTATTAGTTAATTATCATTAAAATATCTGTCTATCCTCTCAACTTCAAAATCGTACTTTTAAACTTTCAATGATAAAAAAATGATAAATTGCCCCTTTTGGTGAATCGAAAATGATGCGATTTAATAATTGAAAATGTTCAATTTGATAATTGAGAAGTTCAGTAATATTTAATGATAATTAGAGAAGCATATGTGTAATTAACCTTTCATTTTCCTTTGTCTTTTTCATTGGAATACACACTCTTTTGCCTTTCAATGAAACAAAAAGTAATGAAAAGCATTATTATAAGTAAATGATTAAGAGTATTTGTTTGTCGACGATGCTCCAGTCTCGAATTGTCAAGCCCGAATGCCTCTATACTTTCTCTCTCTTTTTATTTATTTATTTGTTGGTGTTGGTTTAGTTGTTGTTTTGTTTAGGATGGTTATGTGTAAGGATGTGTTAAAAAAATGTCTGAATTGAATTGCTTTGATAATAAAATTAACTGATCAATTAGGTTGTTAGTTAAAATTTGTTAATTCTACAAAATTTTGTACGAGTCCCTACTAATTAAAATAGAAACATAATTGGGATTCGTACAAAATTATATAAAATTAACAAATTTTAATCAGCAACCTAACTGATCAGTGAATTTTATCATCCAATCAGTCTAACCTAATCACTCACCTTATCAAATCACATAGGCTAAGTTGATACGAAATGTCTAATTTTTTAACACATTCCTACACATAATTATCCTTCCAATGAAAGAAGAAGAAGAAAGTCGAGGCATTCAAGCCTCATAATTCGAGGCCTCAAACACTTCCCTTTGTCTTAATAGCCCTCAACAAGTTCAATCGTTTATATTTTCTTGATCTAAGGGTTCGTTTGGGAAGTAAGTTGGCTTTTTTGTTTTTTGATTTTTTTTGCTATTTTAACTTGAGGCTAAAAAGCCTAATTTGGGAAGAGCTCTAGGCTTTTTTACTTTTTTGTGAGAGTAAGAATGTAATAATTATGAGTTAGATGTAATGTTTTGTTTTATTAAGTTAATATATATATATATATATATATATATTTGTATGACTAAAATAGCAAAAAAAATCTCAACTTTTACTTCCCAAACGAAGCCTAAACAATCTCAACAAATCAATGGTCAAAGTACTCATAATATAGGGGCAACTCATTCATTTCTGCATTATATTAATGTTAAATGTATCTATTTATATATTACATAAGAAAAAATGCATTTCTAATTTATAAGATCTCTCTAGTCTTCAATTTAAATTTTTTAATTTTTTAAAATTTTGAAAACCTTCTATTGGTTAGCTCTTATTCAAACAAAAATAAAAATTAATATTTCTTGATTTATGACTCTTAAATGAAATGTATATCAAATCTAAAAAAGATGAAAAGTATACTAATCCATTTTAAAATTTAAATTTGAGAGTCACTAAATATAGAAAGCAATCTATTAATTTAAATTTAAAATTACACAATATAAATTTAAAATTATAATGATCTATTCAGTGATTTATAAGTTTTAAATACAAATTTAAAATTATCATAATTAGCTCATAATTTTTGTATTAAAAAGCAATAAGAGTGACATTGAGATTATTTATATATTTATATATTTTATAAAAGAATGCTTTTAAGAAAAGATATTATAAGAGTTTCAAAATCATGCAAAATCTATATACTATTATAATTGTAAATTGTTGTCATCTTATTAAAGTTGAAAGTTACAATTCTTTTTTTTTTATTTTTTTTATTTTTTTGATTTTGTTTAATTTTTGTTAATATGATGATTAGTCTATAAATTAATCTGATATTTATAAAATAAAATTTTAAATTTAGATTTTTCCTTAAATTATATTATTATAATAAGATCAATATTCATTCATTAATTTATATATTTTTTTATTAAATTATAAAATAAAATTTTAAATTTAAATTATGTTACTATAATTAGAATAGAATGAGATCCATATTCACATATGTCATAATGAAGTGTCATAAGATTATTGGTCTAAACATAATATGTTATTAAATACAGGTATTGAAGTGTCATAAGATTATTGGTCTAAACATAATATGTTATTAAATACAGGTATTTAAATTATTAATTGCTATTAAAAGTTTATATTTTTTATTTTTTGCCATTTTTGGCTTTAAATTTTATAAAAAAAAATTATATCTTTCTAAACTATAAGGTCTTAAACAATAAATTTTTTTAATACAAATATTTTTTTTAACAAAAGATAAAAACATTAAAAAAATAAATGATTTTTTTAACAATTGCCAAACATAATGGATTCTATTAATTTTTTTTGTTTATCTCAATTGTCAATTAAATAAATTAAATAAATAAAATTGGCTAAGTGACTTTTGCTAAAATCAAATATAAATAAATATTTTTTTCTATTAAAAGTGATAGTTGGTGAAATTTATTTTTTTACATAATAAAAAAAAATGAGAGTTACACATGATAATTTATAATTCCAGCAATACTGTAGACCCACACAAAACCATGATGTAACAAGGGAGCTGGGTCCCATGTCATTGAATGCAAATCAAGGGTTGACACATATAATACCACATCATTGTGGATATAATTGTGGGATTTTTTTATGTGTCTTAAACATTTTTCTTATTATTCATCTAGATTTTTTTAGCACTTGCGAAACATGGTGAATTCTGTTTTTTTTTTTTTTTTAAATCTTAATTGTCATTAACAAACTAAAATTTAAAAAAAAAATTTGTCTCAAATTGCTAAAAAGTGACTTTTGCTAAAACAAATAGAAATAAATGTTATTTTCTTAATAAAAGTGATGGTTCGTAAAATATCTTTTTTTATTTAAAAAATGAGAGTTATAGTTGATAATTTATTGGTCATCTAAAATTATTTTCAAATCAAATGAGAATATCATTCTAAGCTTTCTTCTTAAGTTTTCTTTTTTTTTTTTATCCAGATACTTTTATTTTGTAAAAAATTTAATTTTATTATATTTAAATATTTTATTGTAATTTTTAAGTTAAAAATAAATTTTGAAAAATCTTATTTAAATTATTTTATGCCATTATAAAATATAATTTTTTTTAATATCAACTTATTCGATGATCCCTTTTTAAAAGTTGTATTTGCTTTTGTTCATTAATATTAAATTTTTAATTAATCTGATTTATTATTAAAAATTAAATTAGCAAATAATTTTATATACTTATATATACAATTTTATTTCGATTGCTCAAATTATTTGGTGTCTCTACCCAAGTCTATTCAAATTTATTCGAATTTGTAAATTTTATATAGGTTCTCACCGAATTAAAATTTATGTTACCCAATTTTTAAGATTTTACAAGTTTGATACGAGTTGCTTAGGTTTAACTTGTCCAAATTTACAATTCTAGCAAAGGAGTTGAAAGTTACATATGAAATTGTGACAAATTAAAAATTAATACATAAATTGTGAGAAAATTGTGAAACGTTAATTGTAGGTTTTAATATTTTTTTTATTTTCTTAATTTATATACAAAAATTTAATTATTTATATTATTTTATATAAATATTTTATTAATTTTTTTATATCCCATGTACGAATGTTAGTTTCACAAAATAAGAAAGCAACCTAACCTCTACCTGCCTTTTATGGATCTTCATTTTCATTTTGATGGGCAGTGTAGTTGGACCTCTTTTGACAACAATTTTCATTGGTGAATTATATGGTCCCGGTATCCCATATCAGGAATGAAGAGGGAGTTTTTAGATTAGAAAAGTAAAAATCTAAACCCTTATATAGCATCGAGGCTTTTTTCAAGGTGGTGAAATCCCTAA